CCCGTTTTCTGTTCCCTTCCGGTTTCCATATGAGGGCTTCTTGGGTGAGTCTGGTCTTATCCATTCTGAGTGCATGGCCAGTGTAGTTAAATCGGCACCTCTTAAAAAATTGGGTACATTATCTTGCTTGGTCTCTTGTTTTATTTGCGAATTGGATCTGAAACTTGTCCATTAGAGATTTAGTGTTCTTCAAAGACATCTGCTCTTTAAATTGTCATTTTATTTTTAAATCTAGAGTTAAGTTTCCTTTCCAACTCTCGCATGCATAAAGTCAGGCGGTGTCCTATCACCGATGCTCTTTGGAAAAGCAATTCATTAGGCCATGGGCAGATGCACAAAGAACACGAATATGGGTATCAGATGGACTGATAACATTCTAGCAGCGATTGATAGCAACACTACAATTAAGTTAAGAGGGTAAACAATGTTTAACTGAACACCCCGTCTATGTGTGAAAGAGAGATATTTATAAAATCGAAGGAAACGCATCTTTGGCGAATAAAGTCTCGAGTAGATTGACTTTTGTTTGTACTGTTGCTGAGAACTAGAATGTGGCGAATAAGTCGAATGAAAGAATAATACGTCAGTATTTGGTTGTTTTTGTTGCGCATTCAGTAAGTGGAAATATTATTTCACAGGTGTGTAATTTTTCTGGTTAGCTTGATTTTTTTTTTTTTTTTCATTTCATAATTCGGCTCTACTATCAAATTTGGCCGGTAAGCTGCACTGCTTCGGCCGGCGTAGCGGGGCTTAGTGGGAGGTGGGTCCCTTGGCCAAACTCAAAACAACTCAAAACAAGTCACGGAAAAAGTCACGAAACGAATGACATACTTACCTATCATCATCCGGGTGCGTGTAGGGTTGCGTAGGGTGTCTATCATCGTCCTACGGTTGCGTGTAGGGCTGCTTATTGCGTGTAGGGTTGGTTGTTTGCGTAAGATAGATGACGGTTAGGGTTTAGGGTTAGGGTTTAGGTTTAGGGTTTAGGAGGGGGGGGGGGGTTAGGGTTTAGGGTTTAGGGGTTAGGGTATAGGGTTTAGGGGTATGGTACGATTTGAAAATTTTCACGTAGGAGGTCGAAATAGTGGCTGACAATTTGACATTTGTGGGAGTGGCGCCACTGAAACTCTGTCAAATATGACGCCAATAGCGGGCGGCTGGTGCCCAGACGCTGGCGAATTGATCGTTTCACCAACATCCACAGGCCCTAGATTGTTTGTGTGTGTATGTGACTGTGCGCGACGTCGACGAAGTTGGTCTGGTGGAATACTACCTCGTGCAGATAGATGCCATGCCTTAAGTTTGCGACGTTGCTGTAGCCTCGATGGTCGTTCCCGGCAGTACGTGATCTGTTATGATTCTCTCCAATGTCGCCGCATCTTGTTTTCGCACAAGCTCCAAGTAGCAACGGCCAGTCTCACGCCCTACTAGCCCGACGACCCAACGACCGTGACGGATGCGACCGCGCTGATACTCTCGTCGGAAGAAGTAGCTTTCGTCTACCTCGACCACGATAGATCTGCCGGTCTCATCGAGTCCTCCCAGCTCCACGGTGTGTCTCAACATCCAATTATAGCACTCCTGACGGAAATAATTGTTGTAGTTGACAATGGTGTGCCAGTTCGTGAGTCTCTCGAAGACCATGACAGTCGCTGAACTTACGCCGTAGAGCCAGTAGTACATCATCATGACTATTTTCTCGGCCGGTTGCACGAGCTGCACAGTTGCATATTCCTTATAAGACTATGCTCAGCTAGCCACCACAACCACGCATACTTATCAGACATTAATGCATGCAGATCTGCAGGAGTTATGTCCGTGGCAACTAAGTCGTGCGTCGCAAGAAGAATGTTGTTGCTTATGTGTGTGGGAGCTCTCTGTCTAACTGCCATTTTGCTGTTGTTATTTGATTCGTGACTTTTTCCGCTCGCGTTGTTTTGAGTGCGGCCACGGGACATAACTCCCTCTAAGCCCCGCTACGCCGACCGAAGCAGTGCAGCTTACCGGCCAAATTTGACAGTAGAGCCCATAATTCTTTACACTTTTTCTTCTTTTGCGTTTCTAAACCCCAAGGGAGCATCGATCCTTAACAAACTCACACCAAGTCGTTCTATCGTTCGCTATCGATTGCAGCTCTCTCCATGTCCTTTCCATCTTTTTAACTTCACTCTCTAGCTCCCTTTTCCGAGTGCTTCTTTTTTCCTATTTTTTTCCATGCCGCTGTGGGTTCCAGTGCAAAGATATCATTGTTATTTTGCAATCAAGTTTTCTCAGCGTGTTTCCTATCCAACGCCAGCGTCTTTTCTTCACCTCTTGGTCCGCTGGAACTCGTTTAGTTCTCTACCAAACCTCAATTGATTCTATCATACCCTTCAATTCCCTCATTAATGCGCGGGCACCAGTCAATAAATGTCTGTAGTCTTTTTTTTTTTTTTTTTCGCCTTAAATATTCTCCATGTTTCCAATGACATTAGAGTTTAAGATTCTTAGTTTCATAATAGTTTAAATTCTCTATACCTCCACAAAGTTCCAGTAACTTGTATGATTTCCTTTTTGTAGATTTCTTAGACCTTGACATGTTACCCTGTCCTTTGTTTTACCTTTTGTATCATCCCCCCCCCCCTCCCCCTCAGTATGGACGCACTTTGCGCTACTGTCACTGTATTTACTCATTAACTCTTTGAATTTGATTTTCAGCTGTGACCTCCAATTTCTATTTCTACAGCACATATGCATATTGTGTTCCTGCCATCAATTATCACCCCCATACATGTCATTTAAGTCTGATCGGTTCCTTATAATTATCTCAACGCAGAGCGATGAAACTATGGCTAGAATCATTCTTTTCCTAATGAATGGCGTCTTTACAAATACAAATGCAAAGTTGTACCTCCCTTTCAGTGTTATTTCTAAATGTTCTACAATTTACATGTTTAGTAGTGATGTTTTCTGGTCTAAAAAAATCTATCAAAATCAAAGGTGTTACCTGCTTTTCCTAAAACGGTAGTTATGATTTTAACATACTCACATTGTATTTATGAAATAAATGCATAGCAGATAAGATGGTAAAGATCCAGACAAATGTTACCAAATGTTTGCATTCCAACTCTGATACCACTAAACGCCTGGAGCTGCACAGATACGCGGCAGCACGAAATGTGGACATAAACGAAAACACAAAACCTTTATTGCAATTGTTCTTCTTTCTTCTTTTGTCAATATCTGCTTATGCCGCTAGGCGTCGCTGTTCATCAGATGATCGGCAGCCGAGCATGCATGCGTTCAGTCGCTTGATAAGCCGTGATGTTATGTAGTCTCAAGGTGTCAGTGACCCCTTCAATCCATCGTCTTTTCTGTCGTTTCCTGCCTCTTAATATTTCGATTTTTAGGTTGTACGCTCTTCCTGCTGGCATCGTTTGCTGCATTCTCATTAGATGGTCAAACCATTTCATTCTTTGATTCTTAAACATTTTGACGATGGGTGTTGTTCCAACAGTTCTTGTGATTACGTCATTCTCACTCCATCTCTTCTGGTTTTATTCCCAGCCATTCTTAAACATCTCTTTTCACAGGTGGTTAGTTTTCTTAAAAAAAAATTATATTTTGGAATAGCAGGGTGTTTTAAAATTAGAGCAAATCGGTACATTGGCTTGTTGGATTCTTGTTTCTATCTTTCTGTCTATTTTACCATTGTGTGTAAAGATGCTTCCCAAGTATTTAAATTCGTGTATTTGTTTCAGACTGGTTTGTTGCTCTCTACTTATTCTCATGACTTCTGTTGTTTGTTTTTTGTTTTTTTTTAGTAATAATCTTCATGTGATATTTAAGGCAACTGTTGTGTAGTTAGTTTATGTGGTCCTACAGCTGTTTACTGTCACTGTGGAATATGCACTGATCGTCAGCAAAGAGCAGCTCATTGAAGTCCTCCTTTTTGTCGACATCTGGTGGTGTTATGTCTATTTTTTTTTAAATATTGTCCATAAATAATATAAAAAGTGAAGGTGAAAGAACACACACTTGCTTCACTCCTGATGTTACTGGAAACCAGTCTGTGAGGCCAGCTCTTGTTCTGACGGCACTTTCATTTTCTATATAAATAGCTGTTGCACAATCTAGCCCTGTTTCATTTATACCATAGTTTTCAAGGATATCCCAAAGTAAATCTCTATTCACTCTGAACACTGCTGGACTTCCGTATGGTTTTGTTCAATGTGCTCCCTGCTGTTAATTATTCACAGTAAATCCACATCAAGGTTTTTGCTTTTTTTTTTTTTTTTTTAAGTTGGTTTATTTGCTGAACCGTTAACTGGTAGGTTGACACTGGTCGCTATGTTGGCAGACTGGCTGGCTGGTGAGCAAGTCAACTGTCTGGTTGTCAGGTTGGCTGTATGGCGTGCAGGTTGACTGGCTGGTTGGCTGGCTAGTTGGCTGGCGTGTTGGCGGTTATAGTTCGCTGTTAAAAAGACTTGCAAGTTTGGATTTCGAAGTCCTGCAAAATAGCATTAACATTGACAAAGCCATGAACAGATCTTAAATCTGTTGGAGTGAGGTCTGTTTCGAATCTTTCTGTCACACTCATTTCATGCAACGGAGCCGTGTTGCCGAGCTTTCCTTTCTTCTCTAGGCCCAGACAACCGACAGAATGGGCACACGCTTCAGCGAGTCAAAGGAGTCAAAGCGGCTGGTATTATCTTACACACATTAACCATTGAATACCCATTGGAGAATAATACATAAGTCAGCAAACGTGAAGCTGTTGGAAAGGTCTTTAACATGTTGCTTATACTGTATGTTTCATGAATTTTCTGAGTATGTCGTTCTCTAAGTTATGTTTGTTTAACATCCTGTAGATTCTGCGAGGGCTGTATTGATGGTCACATCGTCGCCTCGACTGCGAGAACTGCAGATCTGAGACGAGGTTTCTCTTGTCCTGAGTGTAGAGCATTTATACCGGCTCCAGACAGCTCTAGCACACCCTCTACCTGTTCAAGACAGATTTCATGGTTAAAAGTATGGTCGAGGTCTACCAATCAAAACAAGTCGCTTATGCTCCACACGTCAGACATCCTTGCCCGAAGCACATGGATAAAGAAGAAGAACTGTACTGCTTTGACTGCTCAACAACTGTCTGCCATCTGTGTGCGGTTATATCCCATAGGGCATGTCGAAAGATAGGCACAGTGACGGAAGCTGCACAACAACGTCGAGAAACCTGGCAGGGATACTTAAAGCAAATACCTGGTTTAATAAACGATGCGCTCGAGTCTGATAACTTAAAAGAACGCTATTGGAAAGAAATAAATAATAACAAGGCCGGTGTTGAAAAAGCAATCAAAGAAGCAGCCAAGAAAATGCATAACATTGTTACTGTTGAAGAAGCCCAACTTTTACGGCAGGTGCAAGGCAACTACGACAACCTAAGAAATAAAGCAATGACATTTAATGAACAGATGAAAAAACTGAAGTCCTTTGAAATGAACGTATCGTCAAAGTTATCGTCATCCTCAGATTTCGATTTATTGGTAGATAAAGATGCTTCACTTGCTATAGATTCGTACAGCCAACAGAACCAAGCCGCCAACAGAGATTATCGCCGCTCCTGTGAAACACTTGCTTCTGTGAGATGGAGCTTTCACCCACAGAACGTTTGCCGTGTAACTCTGGGTAGGGTTGCATTTTCCGGTAAATGAATTGCTGCCGGCTGAAACCTCTGAAATTTTTGTGGCATCATCACGACAACTTTCAAGTCAACAATTTTTTGTGGAGAAAGCGTGTTGTTCCAAACATGCCGACGCATGTTAAACATTTTTCATAATAGCTGATCAGTGTGTGTTGTTAATAAACATATTTCTGTTTGGACAGCTTTTAATTTTGACAGATAAATATATATTGGCCATATGTAGATCTCTACCAAAAAGTCTCTGCGTAAGTTTTTCCATTGTTTTCCATTGGCACCTTTCCGTCTTTCTAGACGATAGTGTTATATTGCGCTATGAGGAGGAATGAGACTCACAGCCCATGGCGATGGCGAGTGTGACTAGCAAGACCCGCCCGTGTCAAGAAAAGTCTTTCACGATGATAGGATGGGATTTTAGGACCACTGTTAACAACATTTTGTGTTTAATCCGTTTCTTTTCCGACGCTCAGCTCTCATCCTCTGCAATTATTTCTTCCTTCAGTCTCATTTCCTTCCTGATGTGCCCTTTCCACACAGCACGGTCCATGCCATTTTGTTCCCATGAGTCCGCCTTAGTACCTGTATCATTCATGTCCCGCTTGCACACATCTTTATATCGTAGTAGAGATCGGCCTCGACATCTTCTTCCTGTCTTTAATTCACCATAAAGGATGTCCTTAGGGACTGTGGCATACTCCATTCTCCAGGTGTGACCCAGCCACCTAAGCCTTCGTAGACTAAGTATGGAAAAGACTATTGTAGTGCCTGCTCTTTCCAGTACCTCAGTGTTTGTGATTTTATCCTGCAACTTAATGCCACGTATTCTTCTTAGGCATCGCATGTGAAAGCTATTAAGCCCTCTCTTGGTGCAAAAAGACTGACCAAGTATCACTTCCATAAAGCAGAGTGCTGAGAACACAAGCCTGATAGACAAGGGTTTTTGTTTTAATTGTGAGCTTACTGTTCTCACAAACTCTCTTTGTCAATCTGCTCATTGTAATGCTGCCTTACCTATCCTAATTTTGATTTCTTGGTCCAGCGATAGTTTACTTTTCACTTTCGAACCCAGATAGGTAAAATGGTCTACTGTCTCAAGCTCTTCAGCGTCAATGTAGACTGTAGGTCTGCCATTGACACCTTGCACCATAAACTTTGTCTTCTTTTTGCTGACTGTTAGTCCAAATTCACAGCACGCATTAGCAAAGGCAGATAGTAAACACTGCAGCTCCCCCTCTGAGTGGGTGGTTATTGCGGCATCATCTGCAAACAGCAGCTCTCTGATAAGTACCTTTCTTATCCTGGTTTTGGCCTTCAGCCTGCGTGCAATGTAAAGGCTGCTGTCAGATCGAGAATAAATGAAAATACCACCCTCCTGATCTCGAAAGGCATGTGTCAACAAAAGTGAAAAGTATATTCCAAAGAGGGTAGAAGCAAACACACACCCCTGCTTCACTCCCTTTTTGATTAAAAACTCCTCTATTACACCATCAAAGTTGATTGTACCTTTCATACCTGTGTGGAACGACTCAATAATACTCAGTAGAGTAGGTGGACACCCAATCTTCTTCAGTGCACTGAACAGACCTTTTCGACTAACCAAATCAAATGCCTTGGTAAGATCAATAAAAGCAACATACAGTGGTTGATTTTGTTCGCGGCTTTTTTCTTGCAACTGTCACAATGAAAATATCATATCAGTGGTAGATCGGTTCCCACGAAAGCCACACTGGGACTCTGGGTAAACGCGATCCCCCAAGATCTGGAGTCTTCGCAAAACAAATCTCGCGAGCACTTTTCCAACAGTACACAGCAGTGATATTCCCCTGTAGTTATTGCAGTCACTCCGATCACCCTTGTTCTTGTACATAGTTATGATGTTTGCATCTTTGAAATCTTGCGAAACCTCTCCCTCTTGCCAGCAGAGTGTTTTTAGCTGATGGATGTGTGGGGGTTATAATGTCTTTCCCACTCCTGATGATTTCAAAATGAATTCCATCTCTGCCTGGGGCTTTCCCTAAAGCCAGTTCGTTAATAGCATTCCCAACTTCTACAACTGTTGGAAATGTGTCCAGATAGTCAAGAGTTGGTAGCGTCTCCATGGCATTAAGAGCACCATCTGCTAGTTTAGTATCAACTGAGTAAACCTCCAGATAATGTTCCACCCATCTATCTAGCTGCTTATTCTTATATTTATTAATCTCCCATTCAAATTTTTTAGTGGTGCACTTTTTTTTAACAGTAGTACTGAGGGCCTTCATTAACATCACTGCTAGCATTTTGAATGCTTTCACATAGCTGGATCCAGTAGTTATTAGCACACTGCCTAGCTACCTTTTGCAAATGATTTCTAGCTGCTCTTAATTCAATGAGAGTGTTCCTTGTTGTTCTTTCCTTGTTTCTGAGGAGTATTAACATTTTGCTGTCAATGAAAGGTTGGAGTGTCTGGCTATTTGCTTCAAACCAGTCCTTACTTCTATTTTCTCTAATCACATAGACTGATACAGCTGTTTTGTAAAGTCTCCCTAATTTTATCCCATTTTAGGCTTGCTGTAGAGTTATCCTGGATAACAGTGAAAGCATCTTCAAGCTGTTGTTGAAACTCAAAACACTTTTCAGGGTTTTTAGTTTTGGAAATATTTAACCTAGGGATATATCTGTTTGTTGATGTGAAAATTCTCTTTGGTTTCATCCGAACTCTTGTAGCAATTAGGGAATGGTCGGTATCAGAGTCAGCACTGTGGTAGCTGCGAGTTAGTGATACACAGTTCAAGTGCTGCCTCCTTGTGATAATAAGGTTCAGCTGGTGCCAGTGGCCAGATCTTGGATGTTTCCATGACACCTTATGGCAGTCTTTAGTTTTGAAAAAGGAGTTTGTGATGCACAAGTCACTTTTAGTGCAGAATTCCAGTAGTCTCTGCCCATTTTCATTCATGCAGCCAACAGTTTGAGTCTGACCCTGCGCGAGCAATAAAATCACCATGTATGTAGATGCTGTCAGATTAAGAAATTGATTTCACTGCGTTGTCTAGTTCCTCGTAAAAACAATCCTTTGCGTCTTCTGCTGACGTTAGAGTGGGTGCAAATGCAGTAACAAGGGTAATAAAACTACTTGAGGTAGACAATCGTAGAGATAATATTCTGTCACTTCCTCCTGTTGGACTCTCAATTGATCCTAACAGTGAATTCTTTCCTGCAAATCCCACTCCATACATCCTGATTTCTTCCTGACCTCTGCCTTTCTCAAAAAAAATGTATACTTATTTTCTCTAATAGACCCATCCTCTAGCAGACGGGTTTCTTGTAGGCTAGCAATATCTTTGTCAATTTTGTTGAGTTCGGCATCAATGATAGCCGTTTTTCTCACATCATTAATGTTTTCCAGGTCAGTGGAAAACCCTGGACACATGGTCCTCACGTTCCAAGAGCCAAGTCGAAGCTTGGGGTTATGTTTCTTTTTATTGCCTGGTGCATCGGTTTTACAGCCTGCAGTTCGGATTTTGTCCTAGCTCCAAGCACCTATTGAAGCATACAAGCTGTGGCGGATCAAAACAGTAATGGTTATGGGCTGCCCAGCTTGAGGCTGGCGGTAGTTGATCAGTGACATTCGAAAATGTTTCCCCTTTGTCAGAGGCAACCCGTGGCCCACCCCCCCCCCCCTCCCCCGTCTACGCCAATTGACAAGGACTTATAACCCGTAACTGCAAAACACTAGCAAGGGAAATCAAAGTCAACATTTTCATAGCATGCCTCTATCTATTGCAGTCGGGGATTTTTTTTTTTTTTTAATTATTATTAAATAAAATATGTTTTAGAGCTGGAATGCGATACAAAGATAATTGGAATGCCACGGATCAAGAAAAAAAATACATACTAAAATATCGTAAAATCAAAGAAAATTACCTCAAATATCCAACCAATGTGAATGTGATAGTGACAGTGATACGCGTCAAAAATCTCCATCCAATAAATGTCAGTTTCAAGTAGACAGTGATACGTGTCAAACAATTTCTATCCAACACATGTCAACTTAAAAGAGACAGTTTAATAAGCTGCTTTTTGCTGACGATCAGTGCATATTCTACGGTGATAGTAAACAGCTGCAGAACCACATAAACTTACTACACGACAGTTGCCTTTAACATCACATGAAGATCAACATTGAAATAACAGAAATCATGAGAATAAGTAAAGAGCGAAAAAAAAACAATGACATTAAGATCGAAGATCTGAGTCTGAAACACATGCAAGAATTTTTATGCTTGGGAAGCATCTTTACACACATTGTTAATGTAGTGAACATTTGTCTCCTTGATAAGTTGGGTTACAGAAAGAATGACGTCAGGTAATAAATATGATTGAGATATTTAAATTTAACGAGTGCAAAGCCGAGATGCACGGGGGAAATGTTGGCCAAATGAAACCCGTGTGAATTGGAGAACACGAAAAAGTCGTATGTGGACAATTATAATGTGGGCAGTAGAAAATTATAGAGTGCCTTAGAAAGACCACGTGGACAGTCTCGTTTGGCCCAAGAAACTGTATGCATGGAGAGCGGAGAAGTATGTGTATGCGTCTGAATGTATTTGTAGCGTTTCTAACGCCTACCTGGCCGGGCAGCAAGGACTGACAGAAACCGACAGCCAGCTGCTTGCGTGTGTTCGCCGTCATAAAAAATAGTTGTTTTGTTCAATTGCTATTGTGTAATGCAAGTAGTGTTTTTCGGCTAAAAGGTAAAGTTGTTTCTCATAAATACATCGTAGGATAGATATGAGTACCTAGACATATCACCTCATCATGTATTGGCTGTAGAAACAGCGAGTGGAGAATAAAGAGTGAAACCGCATAGTATCGTTCACTGTCGTCCATTTTTACTAGTGGTGTTGACTGTCAATGCACGAGTGAGGAGTCTGTAAGCGACTGGAGGCAAAGTGAATAAAGAACAGGGTCATTGCAGGTAAAATACACAGAGACAAAAAAACGATAATCCAACAACAACAACAACAAAAACAGTGT